TGCAATATTCCCTTACGAATTATTAATTATCACATTTGAAACTTCTAATTTCTAACGATAGTTAAAAGGAACTAATAAACATACTGTGATTTTATATAAATTTAATATATACAAATAAAGAAATAACTTTTCAAAAAGGAAGTAAATTTATGGATGCTAATATCAATCCTTCAAAAAAATGCAAACAAGCAAGAAGCATGACATTTGCATCGTCCATACATAACAGCACAGGAACACGGTGTAGTAGAATGTTAACAAACAAAAATAGAATAAATTAAACTCACTTGTGATTGAATAGTTATATAGGTTGCTATATGTTAATTATTGCTTGTTGTATTATGTAGGGATGATGCAAATGCCATCCCTACTATCTTGTTTGCGTTGTTTTTGAAGGATTAGTATTAGCTATCCCTACATTTACTTCCTTTTTTGAAAAGTTTTTCTTTACTTGTTTGCTTGTTATTTTTAATGCAGTGTTTCAATAGACATGGGAAGATGGTATTTATAACGAATTTCTAAATACAATGAGGCTCCAATTGTAATTTTTATAGTAGTCAAAATATTTGTTTGTTCTTCAGACTACACGCTTCACTACCGACAGGAAAACGAACAATCTGGATGGACTGTAGTCCCCATAGCAACCGATCAAGAACAGTATACGCAAACGAACCTTCAGTGTGGCACAACCTATCAGTTTTTTATGACGTCACACAACACTGTTGGTAGAAGTGAACCAAGTAATAAGCTTAACATCAGGACAGCAGGAGCGGGTAAACTAATTTTCAATCTATCAGTGAAGAGAGAGTTTCTATTCTTTGTCAAAACAATAATAAAACTAATCAAAACCTGTCCTGTAAAATTCTTCTACAAAAGCCATTTGATCCCGAGGCATAAATAAATATTTTTATCTCATTTCTATGCATTGTTCTTCTTAGAAAAAAAACAACAACTTATATTTGTTTACTATGACTTTGATCATCTGTTACAAACTAGTTAATTTCTGTATCCATCATGCGTCCGTGCTTTAACGTTAGCTCAAAACTTTAAAACTAAAATATCTTTAACAGATTTAATCGTTTTTCTCTGCTCCTAATAAACGTTGATAACCAAGATTTTATTTCCTAAAAATAGCAATCCATTTATATAATACATTTAGTACCTTGTTTCGCTATTTAAGCTCCTGTGTCACCAGCTCGAGAAGATTTCATCACTGTCAATATAACCGAAGTTACTCTAGATTTCTCTAAGTGGAAAGATGGCGGCTGTCTGATCACTTTTTATACCATCAAGTTAAGAAAGAAGTTCCACAGTCATTGGAAGACTCTGATAGACAATCTCCAGTTTAAAGCAAAACCACCTTTTCAACTCTTGACTCTGTCTCCGGCTACTTGGTACGAACTCCTAATCACTGTACAAAATTCAGCAGGAACAACAGAAGCTATGTACGATTTTAGAACACGAGGTAAAAACGTTATATGTAATTTTTATTAAATTAATACAAAGTTAAGTTTTACAATATATGGCTGACACTCAAAATAGACATCGGGAAAATTGAGCACAAGATTATATTTACTCAACTTTTCCCAGTTCATATGAACGTAATCTGTAATCCAGATCTAATTCCACTTTGTCGTAAAAAAAAAGAATAATTTACGTATGTGTTGCACAGAACTTTACTTATCTTGAAAACTTATCAGTTATTGTATAAATAAAAAAGTACAAAAGTTTTAATGTTTAAAATATTAGCATTAATGGAACTGTCGTGTTTTATGGTTACAATTGCTATATTGTGTTTTATCTGCTATTTCTTGATCGTTGAGTATCCTTTCCTTTACTTTCTATATTTAGACCATTTGATTTTTCACGTTATGACATCTGATTACCGGAGGTATAACAATAATTGTTTGACTGTTTAAAAAAAAAAACCTTATGAAAAAAAAGCCACTTTCTGATTTTACTTTTTATTTTTGTAGAAATTCTTTCTCGTGAAACAATTAAGAAACCGAAAGTTCGTACCACCTACTTCATTATCGATTTAGAAATACTCATACCCATTACTGTCTCCAGCTTCGTTGTTGTGGTAGTAATCATTGTTGGATGTGTATTGTGTATTCGAGAGCCACGATCTGCTCATCATGAGAACGGTGAGACAACAAAACTAACTAAATAAAAATTGTTTTAAATAACTTATAAATTGTTGACATTCAAATTTAAGAGGACACCTTACTTGTTGCAAATAATTTTGGCTTTACTAAATAAAAATTGTTTTAAATAACTTATAAATTGTTGACATTCAAATTTAAGAGGACACCTTACTTGTTGCAAATAATTTTTGCTTTACTAAATAAAAATTGTTTTAAATAACTTATAAATTGTTGACATTCACATTTAAGAGGACAATTTACTTGTTGCAAATAATTTTTGCTTTGTTAGGACAAAGGTGTAAACAACTTGTACTGTATTTTTGACTTGGCTCAAAAAAGAAAAACGCCAACGACTTAAATTACAGTTTCAGTCCTTAACTAAATATTTTTGCAACTTCTAATTATTTTTATGAGTAAATTACATAAGAAATTTTGTGGATCGAAAAAGAAAACTTTAAATTTAGTTTTCGGAACGTTTAAATTATACATTTCTTATCAATAGATTTGAAATGGTCCCATCTCTCAACTCAATGTCAACAGTTTCTTGGGTAAATTCTCCCAAAGTACGATAGAACTTGAACTTTGTCGTAAATTGTGTTAAAGATTGCAAATTTTGAAAGGAGAGAAAAAAAAACACTAGTGGGTTTATTCTTACAAGAACTATCATGACAAATTCTACACTAAAGTGTGACTGTTTCATTTAACTTGAGTAGGAAAAAATCAGCATCGTCATTAGTTACATTAGTCAATTAGTTACATATTAAAACTTGAAACGGAGCAGATTTGTGAAAGATCTTACTCACCAATAATAATTGACGTTTTTTTTGTTGTTTTTTTGACTAGATGATCACAGGATGGAATAAAAAAAGAGAACCTTTAGAATTTTGCTGTGAAATTATAATTTTTGTACAGTAAACATTGTGGGGATTTCCGTAATCACGGGTTTCCAGTTTTGGAAGTTTTACAGATTTGTGTTACCAATACAGACATAGGATAAACGGCTTGTTACTAAATTTTCTGCAGTAATGTAATTGTTTTATTTTAGAAAATTAATTCGACATTCAGGATTATTGTACAGTCTTCTGCGTGCTTGTTTAACTCAGCGGATCTACCGAAGACACAGCTCATTACATTAGTGCTAGGATTAATTTTTATATTGTATTATTACAATACAAAATATTATTTGTACGGCAATACATCTTTTGAACTTTAAGTTTTGTTAATTATTCAAATGAAAATTCCAAGTGTAATTGAATAAACTTGCTAGTAACTTGAATATGTTTCTAACTGTTTGAATAAAAGTCCCGGCAAGCAATTTATTAATAGCATTTAAATAACCTTTATACTGACGAAGTCTTTTGCTAACTGAAATGTAATACAGTAGGATGCTATATTTTTCTTACCATACCTTACAGTATTTGTGACTTTCAAATATAATGAAAATATTCATGCGTTATTATAACTCTTTGAGAAACATGCATATACTTACAATATTCTGATATAAAAACGTATTAGCTAGCACTAGGTAACAGCATGTCAAGCTGAGAGCTGTTGTTTCAAGCAATATCATCTTTCATCTGGGTCGATGATAAATGTCGTCGTCCAGCGGAGCTTTATACGGCTTCAGAAGTCCAAAATGGTTTGGTGTATACTTTCTACACACGCAGGCAAATACACATATCTTTATTGTTTTTACATTGCAATGGGTTTTAAGGTAGTTCAGATAAATTTAACACTGGTTTAATTTATCAAACAATAATATAATAAATCATGAATGGTAATTTTGGTTGAGCTTTGGATAAGTTTAAAAACTTTTGCAGTGAGAATCTAAAGATATCTGTATGAATAAAAGTTACACCAAGTCATATTCAAATCTAAAGCCATAACAAAGCTTCATTGGTGAGATAATGAGATAATTACAGCCGATCACGACATGCATTTTGTTATCTAATGTGAGCTAATATGTTTTCATAGTAAAATTTACCTCATTGAAATACAAAGACAATTAAATTAAAGAGAATAAATGTACTCATGTGTACAAATAAAAACTACACCATATTTACGGTATATTTTTGGAAAATAACTAATTTATTAAAACTGGGAGAAAATTGTTCGGGGCGCACATAGAAGAAATAATTTGTCATTCCATTACACTCTCAAGTTTATGCAACACCTATTTTAATATTAAACCTTAAAAATAAACTTTTCTGACACCATTTTACTTATGTTTTTATTAGTGAACCTTGATATCAGTGTTGTAAAAGATGCTTTAATAATACATATTTGTTTCAAATATCTTAAGCCATTTGAAATAGAGGCACAAAAATCATGTGTAGACTACTTTGTATTTCCGAAATTAGGGAAACACATCCAGTTTGGGGCAGAACAGTCCAGTCAACTTTACGTTGGCACCAAATTATATTTGATTATAATTTTTGGACAATACAGAAACTCATAGTAGTGCTCAATATTTGTGTAAAAAGTGTTTAAAATAAGCACTTAGGTTGGCCAAAGTAAGTAACGTGATAAATTTGGGACTTTTAACAGAAACCCAGATATATGGGAAGACCACACACAATGTAATACAAATGAAGGATATTGGAAACTCACCCCCATTAGACTACGTATCAAGTGAAGATGGAACCCAGCGTTCTTCACCCTATTCTCAGTCAACGAATCATTGCCCTGCGAGTCAATCGGTGTTTGTTTCACGGCCAGGTAGAGATGTGAGCTCGCGTCCGCTTTTTAAAATCAAGTTTGTTTGTTTTTTACTTCAGAATAACTACTTTTATTAAATAACTATTTTTCTACTTAGATTTGTATTCTATTTTCATACTTTTTAAATTTTCATTTTACTTGGGGTATTTTTATCTAAAACGTCTATTAAATGCCTTGAGAAGTAAACTATGGTTAACGTATCAGGATGTATTTCAACTCTTGATAGACATTGACAACTGCGTGTTTGTGATAAATTCAACGAATTTCCTACGATGAGTTAGGAATGTAAATTAAAGATTTCTGATAATGATAAGGCAATAATGATAAAGTTACTTTTTCTGAGTTTATTTTTACAATTTCAAAACGAATTATTTCCAGAAATAACTAATGCCACACAAAATCTATTAAAATACAGATACCATTCAATTTATTTATTTCAGAGGAGGAACTCCACCCATACGCAACTCCCTATGACACTTTACCAGTCCCGCCCTCTAGTGATAACCAACGTCAGCCAGGAGCATCCACTATCCGCACTCTCACAAGGAAGGAAAGAGACATGCGAATCCATAATGTCTACAGCAAGCAGGTGAACAATAAGTAGTTAAGAAATATTTAGTTGTGTATTAAAACATTAGAGAATAAGTTGCGTCATCTAGATAAGTAAAATGAATCAAACACAATATTAATAAAACTGTTTTTACCTATTAGGGCAATATTACATGAATTTATTGTCATTAGGAAAATGTTTTTACGGCGAAACTGGATTGCAATTGAATTAAGAAATTATATCAAAGCTTTGTTAGCTAAAGTCATGATCATGTGGTTTCCTATTGCTGTTTTCCTAGTGTATAATGACTTTAAAAATTTGACTGAAGGTGAATCTTCAGTAAACTAAAACTGCCAGCAGTTTAGAAGTGAATACCGTGAATAATATATTCGCGCCCGCGTGTGCGTTTATGCATAGAACGGATTATACTGGCATACATTTATGGATTGCATCCTCTTGGACTGAATAGATGGTGTCAATGTTTTGGTTTCTGCGTTAAGGTTTTCATTAGTTTTAGGCCCGGCATTGCCAGGTGGTTAGGGTACTCGACTCGCAATCTGCGGGTCGCGGGTTCGAATCCCCGTCACACCAAAAATGCTCGCCCTTTCAGCCGTGGGGGTGTTATAAAGTGACGGTCAATCCCACTATTCGTTGGTAAAAGAGTAGCCCAAGAGTTGGCGGTGGGTGGTAATGACTAGCTGCCTTCCCTCTAGTCTTACACTGCTAAATTAGGGACGGCTAGCGCAGATAGCCCTCGTGTAACTTTGCGCGAAATTCAAAACAAACAAACAATCATTAGTTTTAAGCTTAAAATAAAAATACAGATATAACTTATATATATATAACCGAAACAACGGCCTGAAATTTTTTTTTTTAATCGAAGGTTAAATTATAACCAAAACTTTTAAAGATATCATTTAGATTACTTTTTTAAAATAAAATCTAATAAGCACATAAACAGCATTTTGAACTATTTTCTCTCTAGCTGACTGTGAAATGCAATTTATACACTTACGCAGAGGAAAAGCCCGCTGGAGGCTCAGTTCTTAGGGCTTATAACTCTAAAAAAATCGAGTTTCGATATAAGCGTTGGACAGAGCACAGATAGCCCATTTTAAAAAGCAGAAAATAAGAGACTCGATTTAAAATCCTATCAGAAACCTCGTCCTTTTTGACAAACGCTGTTATATTTTTTTTTCGCTAGAAATATATATGTTTGTTTTCACCCCACATTAATGTATTCATCGCTAAAATGTGTTCTAAAGGGATCTGAAAGTGTAATATTAATCGAATAAATTAGCAAAAACTATTAATTCGCACCTAAATGACATTATTGTTTTCTGTAAAAATCTAAAGCAAGTCAATAATAGCAAATACAATTAAAAGCGAATCCATCATCTTAGTATATGGAATTTCTTAGACTTATCTATTTTATATTAGCATCAGTCGTGAAGAGATTTGGAAATGCCCAGAGGATATTTCACCCCTATTTCTACTTATTAGTTGGCCAAGTGATTTAGGTGACAAATGCACTAAGGAAGAATTGATCCTATTGTAAGATGTATCTAGTGATTGGTTCTGTTAGTTTTGTTCGGATTTTCATCTGCTTTAGAACTCTCCCAAGTTAAAGAAAATTGTTGTCCATCGTTTCGTGTACACATTATTTGGGCTGTGTTTATTTGTCTTGTTCAGTAAATGAAATATACTTTTCTGTTATTGTAAACTGTTATTTTTCCTCTTCTTTTGGGACTTAGATTGACTATGCAATATACATTCTGTCAAACTTCTAATGTTATGAGGCACTGTTCTAACCTATAGGAAATAAAAGTACCCGTGATTATCACAAAGGAAAATAGAAAGAGATACATTTTGTTGCAGTGACCAGGATTGGTTGTTGTTGTGGAGTCTTCCATGTTTTTGATAACTGTGCTCCTTTTGTACCCTCCTAGAGCATAATTTTTGATAAATGGAATTTGGAAATGGAATTTTGCAGATGAAGAACATATTATTGAGTTGAGGAGTTGGTAGTTGATGGGAAACCATGATTTAAGAATGTACCATGATGTAAGAGAAGTTTCTTTCTGGACCCAAGTATTTTGCCATTACGTATTACTTAGGTGATTGGCTATACCGTTGGTGGTACCCAGAGCTCTTAAGCAGGAGATACTTCAAATTTTGCATAATGCAAGACCTGAACGTCACCAGAATGTTTCCACGTTTGTACTAATATGCAAAAGCATTTTTTCTTCTTTTTCTGGCCAAATAAAAGCACTGAGACGTGTTTCCAACAATGTAACGTAATGTGCTGCGGAAAAAAAAAACAGCCTTTCCAGGATAAACTTTCCAAAAGGAGTTGTAGATTCTTCAAAAAGTAATCCTGGATATAGCTGGTCCTCCTCAAAGACTGAATGACCTAGGAACAATTTCTGATCAGTATTGATTGCTTCACAAATTGAGCCAGTTTTTCCATTAGCTTTTACATAATAACAGACTGTCACTGTTATCTGGACAATGGATAGCACGACTTGGATCACCTAGATAAATCTACATGGGTAAAGGAGCTAATTTCAACAGTTAAATATTTGTCAAGTTATGAAAAGTGTTAGATGTCATACATCATGATAGCATATTGTGCAACAGAGCAAATGTTGGCAGGTTATTTGCCCAGTATGTTAATCTTTGGCCAAGAAATACAACTTCTACTGGATGTTATAAATGGTTCGCCTACCCAATGCAGATGCGCCATAGGGACTAGAGGAATATATGAAATGGTTGAGGTCTGTGTTAATTTGTGCATCAAAAGCTGGGCAAGGTTGTGATAAGACAGAATAAATATTGCAATAAATCACTGAAGAAGTGAAAGTTGGGGTATGGAGATTGGATTTGCCTTCGCTATGAGTCTGTGGCATAGAAGCAACATGGCTTTAAACGGATTTGTCTTTATCGTTCTCATACGGCTCAACCCAACAAATTACAAGTTTTAGCAGTCACATGACACACAAAAACCCGTTGAATATGTTGACAAATTAAGTCTGTATATCACCAATAAGTCCTTACTGCACTAGTTCGAATAGGCAAAATTTAGCATTTTCCACATCAAACAGGTGTCGCTGATATCCCTTAACATACTTTTTTTCCAGCTTTAATGGCTCTACAATATGCCAATAATTCAGCTGCTGGTGTTTATAGCCAAGTAAGCGCATTTTAATATTAAACATTATACTTGGCTTGTATCAGTCTACACGTATATTAATTTACTACAATGGACAGAACAAACTGTGAATTGTAGCTGAAAAGTCATACAATAACTAAATTCCACCTACTGAAATTCTGACCTATTAGAATCTAGATTGACCAAGTGTTCTCAATCCTCACTTTAGCTACATAGTATCAAATTATTATCCCTCCTTGATAGTTTGTTTTTCATCACACTCCGAAGTTCTACTGAAATGGGAGAACAATGTTTTGGGTAACTTTGAGGAATACTCCTGAAGATGGTGGAATTATTTCCACCGAAAAATGTAATTTTTAAAGTTTCTTTTAACTTATATTTTTTAAACTTGTCAAATAAATTATTGTGCAAGTAAAAACGTTGATGTCTCGTTTTATTTAAAATATTTTGCACAAGAACTGTCAGTCTTATTCAGAGACTTTCAAAGTAGTTTAAGTGATTCCAGGATGGAAATCATGGGCACACATTGATTGAGCCGAGTTTGTCTTGTTCAGTAAGTTCGTGTTTTTGTACTATTAGTTTAGTCAAATGAAAATTGAGAACTCTACAATAACTATTCTGCCAAATTGCTAGCTAGAACAAGTACTATTCATATCTGTAGGACATTAGTGCACTTAGCAATAACATAATACATCACTTGCTGACTACTTTCCTAGTTATAGTATTTTGGCACTTGTGTATAAAGTTAAAATCATAAATAATATTCAACGTTAAACTGGTACACAA